GTGGCTTTTGTTTCGCGAGAGCGGGAAAGTTGTAGAGCTTAAAGCTTGTTTCTAGAAGCTACATGGGTAATACTGTCATAGATTAATGATGCATTTTATTATTTGTGGAGCTTAATGCACTTGTGACATTTTACACTATTTGACTTGATACATTGAAATGTTAGGGGCGGACTTTCTGTTATAGTGTACATTCTATTTCTGCGTCACACTTTTTGAATGTACATATATGAAATCTGTACGTACGTATATGTGAACCGTGTAGTGGCGGTGTAAGAATATCCAATTGTTTTATATTGGGCCACCACTCGTGGGCGTTTCAAAAGGCGACAAATGAAAAACAAGTTAGGAGATGTGCAGCAGCATCTAAGATAAGCTAAGTATGGCAATCGTAGCAAAATCTCTCATATGAGGCAATCTATTGGGGAGGCCTATGATCAACAGTGTAATTTGATACCGAGTAGGTTGTAATTAATTAAGGAACAATAAATGAGTACAAGTTTAATATAGCTGTTCGTAAAACGTTGAGATAATATTACAGTGCGCAATGATTTGATTTTTTTTTTATAAGAGAGGGCAAACGAGCATGCGACTCACCTGATGGTAAGTGACTACCGCCGCCCATGAACAATTGCAATACCAGGGAAATTGCTGATGCGTTGCCGGTCTTTCTAAAAAGAGTAGGTTCTTTTTTTGAAGGTCAATAATTTGTATCGGCCCGAAAATAACTGGCGACAGTAAATACCATAATGTGATCGTGGTCGATGGTACCTAAGGGACGGCATTAGAAGACAGACCTGTCCAAAGACAGTAGGTATGACAAAATTCATCTGATCTTTATAGTTGATATAGTTTTGTTTAAAGTAGAAATAAGCAATCTATATATCACGCTTCAAAGAAAAAAAAACTGCAAATTTATTAAACATGCTAGTTTTAACTGTTTTAACAGCCCGAGTCGACCAATGATTTTGTTCAAGCGACGGCTAATTACTGCAACTTAGCGCATTTGTTTGCAAGCGTACGTGTGTTAGTCCGTAATAATGTTGGTGAGACTCACCGTCTCTTGATGGCGGGCGGGCGGGGGGTCGCCGCTACGGGCGCCCAGCTTCCCTCATCGCGCTCGACTCTTGAACAAAATCATCACGTCAGATACATCTCGAGCGCACTGGTCGATGAACCGCGGTATATCAGTACGGTGACAAATGACCAGGTTTATATGGGATCGGATTTAAAATTACTATCACTTATTTGTTAAGTTGGTATGTATTTATGAGGTTTTCTATGTACCTCAGTATTTTTTATTTACTATCCAATATAGCAGATATATATTAAAGTCATTGTAATTAGTTATCAAAACAGAATTAGAAGAATAGAATGTAATTATGGATTAAGTTTTTAAATGCAAACAATCATATTATGCTAACTAAATTTTAATTTATTGTCTACTTAGCTTCAAAATTTGCAATGCCTGCTAGTTGTAAGTACTTACTGTCATTACAAGATTGACGTTTGATATATTTTGAGCCTAAATGTTTTGAGTTTTTAATTATCATTAGAGGCTTTTTGATTTCTTCAATGAGAAATACAGAATAATATATGTTCGAATTGTAAAGTCAATCAATTTACAGGCTTCTCCCTGGTTTATAATCCCAATCAGATAAGAGAGAACTATATCTAACATCGGGATCTTACATTTTCAATAAGTGCTTAAAACACAAACTTTGTTGTACGCACTTCATCTGGTTATGCGTTTATATTTAACCCATATCTACATTCTACATCCAATTATAAGAACCACAAACGGAAGGTGAAACGTACCTTTTTAGGCATATATAATATGTAATAAAAAATATTTTTATAAAAATGCAGACGTAAAACTGCACTCAAAAGTTTATTGAAAAGCTTCTTATTTAGAAAAAACGACGTTTTCGAGGTGGGACCTCAACAAGATGAAAGTTTAAGTAATTCTCGTAATGAAGTTCTCATTTAAATTGTACATTTATTTATTTATATAACATATAGTCCCAATTCCCTCACTTGGCTGACTAATGTAACTACTGTGCCTTGACGAACTGTCGCGGGTAGGGTTACTTTAGAAACATTACCGCTCCTGGCCCTTACATACTAATAGTCTGCATCAAATGGCAGAAATATAAAGTTATCTCTCAGAGATGTGCGCACTTATTTTCAGAGTTGACTTGACACTGACATGAGGGACCCAAAATGTCTACAAAGGTGGCATCCCACGTATGAACTTTAATAACATTTTTTTTATATATAATTATTGCTAGCAGAATTGAGTGAACTATAGTGACTAGTGACTCAAAGTGAAAAAACTTTAAACAGTTCATGGATAGTTGAACTGGTGTTTTGTTATATTAAAGGGGGTGTTTTATTAAATTTCTAACTGTCTTAAAACCAACCAAGCATCCCACTGCAAGACTTCAAGACACAGTAAGTTCATTCTGCATAGATCGGACCAAAATTAATAATTAAAAAACCTGAAGGTACTCCGGGTTAACTCAGACATCGGTACGTCAATCACCTCAGTCCCCCGTGACCATGGGTGCTGTAAAGCACCCCTAACGTCGGGAATTAATAAAAATAAGAAAAATAAGTTAATTAAACGCGATAAAATTCGTGTTGATTAGTTGCCACAATTGTCAGGCGGTTTGGCATCCCAATTACGTTATAAGTTATTCCGCAATAACGTCAGAAAAAACACAACCCTGAATGTTACACTAGATGATAAAACAGTAGTCTGTAGAAGTAGCCAAATTTTTAGGAGTGAGGATAGACAGTGATCTGAAGTGGAAACATGAATTAGACGAGATTGAGGGTAAAATAAGCTCAGCTTGTTACGTACTAAGAAGCTTACGGGATGAAGCTGATCTTGAACATTTAAAATTGGTTTATTACGCATTGGTGGAGTCAAGATTACGTTATAGTATCTTATTTGGGGGGGGGAAGCTTTAAATATAATGTACACAAAGCCTTTGTTCTGCAAAAAAGAGCATTCAGAACCATGGTCCGGATAAAAGCACAAGAATCGTGTCGCGAACACTTCAAAAGACTTGGGATCTTGACTGTTCCATGTCTGTATATACTGGTCTTACTCACGCAATTTGCAAAAGTTATTGGCGAATATGAGACGATAGACCAAAAAACCATAAGAGAAAACACCAGAAGAAAAGATTTTCATAATAAAATTGTCCCTCGTATGGTAATGACTAGACACTATTCTTAATATCGATCAGTACTTCTATTTAATAGACTACCTACTGACTTAAAAAATATGTTATACAAGGATAGTTTCAAAAATACCTTAAAAAAGTTCCTACTGGAAAAATGTTATTATAGTGTTGACGAATTTCTACATGCTGATACTACAATATAATCTTCAATGTTTTAAAATTTTTGATGACATTTAAAAATAATCGTAATTTTTTTATGACATATATTGTTATTATATTTTGTGATATTTTATACTTTATTTTATTGACTGATGAGATTTGACTTCTAATTTTTATTGTAATTTCTACATACTTAATTGTAATTTTTCATAATCTAATTTTTATATTAATTGTTAAAATAATTTTAATTTGATATTGATTGTAAATTATATTTTTATTGTAATTTTATATAATTGTAAATTTTATTGTTAAACATTTTAATTGTATTTTTGCATAAATTATTCAACATAATTTGCATTGTTCAGAATTAAATAAATAAATAAATAAAAATTATTTTAATGATACTATTTATTATTTTGAACCGATCGGTTTTGTCTTACGGTATCATTAAGATATATCAAAGCTGATACTGTATATTAGCAGTCTTATTTTTCGTCTTCATCAGCCCTTTAGTCAACTGCTGGACTTGGGCCCCTTTCGTTGAAGTATTATTCCGAAGCGATACGACTTAGGGACCTTCAAGAAAAGCGCCTACTCTTTTTCATAAGGCCGGCAATGCATCTGCAATTCCCCTGGTGTTGTGGTTGTTCATGGGCGGCGGTAGTCACTTGCCATCAGGTGAGCTGCATGCTCGTTTGCCCCCTCTTATTAAAAAAATAAATAATAATAATAATAAGGAAAGATTTGCCTACAGCACGCTTGGGCATTGGCGATAGTAGCACCATACGTTTAGTATCTTTAATGCCCTGCCGTCACTGGTATAAACGAGATGCCGTGTATGATGTGCTGGTGTAAGAATATTCACTACCCCATATCATCTCGTGGATGTCGCGAGACGCGACAGAGGGAAACAATCAGGAGATAGGCAGCAGCGTCTTTCTAATAACGTCTTAAATAAAAAAACTGCAGTTGCCAACCCGCTTGACAAGTGTGGCAACTATGGCAAATATCCCCCCTCCCCATGAGGCACTCAATCAAGGGGAGGCCTATGTTTAGCAGTGGACTTTAATAGGTTGTAACGGTAACGGTTAACGATATGGTATATCCCACAGTCAATACCCACGGGAAGAGATGGATTCTATTTTGCCGCTACACGTTTACACGGGAAGTCCCGTGAAATTGACAGCTTTTTTTAGTATAAAACGAGCACAAAGTCAATCATGATTTAATGCGATCTCTATCTAAACAACAGCTGATTATAATAATGCCTTATGCGATTCAAGCAACGTTGAATTTTTTTTTATAGAATAAGGGTGACAAATGAGTACACATTCCACCTGCTGGTAAGTGCTGTGGCCCAAGACATCTACATTTATCCTCAATTAAGAATCAAACTGCAGATGCGTTGTCACCCCTGAGAACGAATGCCCCGTTTCTAGTAAAAAGGGTCTCAACATTCATCATACGAACCACAGCAGCATTAAGCTGTTATTTTACGCTAGCTGTGAGAGCGTGTTCCTGCCCCGGCCGAGCCGAACCATTCGCGTTATAACCGTAATATAGCTGCAGGGGCTATTCTACGTATATTACATTTCGATGTTGCCACCGTGGCCGAAATCAACCAGGATTGATGATTAAAAAGCAACTCACCGAGTAGCCAGGGCGCGACTGAATCATTCTCCTTGGCGCTTTTGAGAATCGTCTCCGGGAGCGGTAGTGAGTGGCGCACCATGGCACCATACAGGCCATACTCCGCCATGATGGTGGACCGGCCCCAGCACTTCTCCGTCTTACGCCACTTCGCACGTCGATTCTGGAACCACACCTGCCGGCAAACCAAAACGTTATTAAGATTATTGAAAAAGATATTTAAAAGAGCTCGAAGAACCTAAAATCAATGGGGACGTCACCCATTAATATCTGTAGCACCAGAGGAATTACAGGTGCGTTACCAGCCTTTTAGAAAGGAGGTATTCAAGTCGTACCAGTCGGGGAAAACCGCTAGGGACAGTAAATTTCATAATGTTCAATAATATGCTGGTACAAATAGTCGGCACTAGAAGACGGTGACGTCCAAAAAAAAGCTGAGATGACAATATTCATATGACCTTGGGGCCGTGTTAATTTGACTAGGGTCATCGTGGACAGAGTCCAATCAAATCGTTGGAGGAGGCCTATGCCAAAAGGCAGGATGAATTTTTTTTTATAGGATAAAGGTGACAAACGAGCACACAGTCCACCTGATGGTAAGTGGTTGCTGCGGCCCATAGACATATACATCTATCCTCTGTTACAAATCAAAATATAGATGCGTTGTCACCCGTGAGGACTAAGATGGAATGCCTCATTTCCAGTAAAAAGGGCCTCCGGCCACCTGCACTCACCAAGCGAAACGCAGAGGTAAACCTCTACTTCACGCTGGTTTTCTGTGAGGTCGTGGTACTACCCCGGTTCGAGCCGGCCCATCCCTGGGACAGCAAAAGCTGCCGCGTGGCTCTACCACTGTTAAAAATTTAACTGAGTCATTTTGTAATCAAAACATAATAATAATAATGGCTTAATTAATATTAATAACTAACTTAACCACGAAATACGTGTATGTTTCCGTTTGTATGATATTATTAAATGAATATTCAATCCATAATACATTCAACCCATAATACGTTTTATCAATTTCGTGAACAATTAACTGCCTATTATATTTGTTCATTAACTTGCAAAACATACCCGACTAAAATAAAATAAAGCCTTTTTTTAACTTAAAAAGGGATAAAATTCAACTTAATCGTAATGATAGAGGGGCCGAGCGAGCGAGCGAGCGAGCGACTGGCCAGTGTCGGTGGCGAGCGAGCGGAGGCACTCGACTCCGCGGTAACTAAGCACGGAAACAAACCAATTAGCGCGGACAAAACGCAACTAAATTACATTTTCAAATTCGGCTCCGGAGTTGTACCTACTGTGTGTAGGGTTGTCGCATAGTATATATTTTTCAAATACTTTTTAAACCCGTTTTTAAACGTAAGCGTCAAAAAGATTTCAATAGCCGAGTTGAATTATAGTAGCTCCCCTTTTCTGCATAGGAGTATGTCTGGGTAGGTTTTTTTATAGGATAGGGTGACAAACATTTATACATCTACATTTATCCTCAATAAAGAATCAGAATGCAGATGCGTCGTCACCCGTCACTAAGATGGAGTGCCTCTTTTCCCGTAAAAAGGGTCTCCGGTTCTCTACACTCACCATACGAAACTCAGCAGTGTCAAGCTGCCATTTGACGCTGGTATTCTGTGAGAGCGTTGTCCTTCCCAGTCGAGCCGACACATTCGTGCTACAACTATACTACTAATATAGCTGCAGCATGGCTCTACCACGTATAAAGATATCACATTCTTAGCTATTTCTGCCGCCAAATAGCTGTGGCAGTATATTGATGCCGTTTTTGAAGAAATCAGCTGGACGGCAGGCAAAAAATTCTTCAAAGGCATTTTGTACTGCCTCGCGAATATTGAATTTTTTTTTCCGCCAAAAAGTTATCCAAATTCTGGAAAAAGTAGAGGTCTGTAGGCGCAAAGTCTGGTGAGTACGGCAAATGTCAGAGCTTGCAACCCCTGTTCTTGTAACTTGGAGACCATCTGTTGTGCAGTATGAGGTCGCGCGCTGTGGTGCAGGATTGGAGACGTGCGATCTTCCCCATCATCATTTTCAGTTCTTCACAGTACATATCTGCAGTAATGCTCATCCAGTTTGTTAAGAAGCTGTGATGAATCACACCGGCGCTAGACCACCAAACAACGACCATCACTTCTAGGGGAAAGTTTTCGTGTAGCACATTGTTTAGATGCTGAATCTATCCAAATTGGTGAGCGTTTGCGATTGTCATACAGAATCCATTTCTCGTCGCATGTAACAAAATGCGGTTCAAAATTCCTTAGTTTAAGGCACGTCTCGACGCGCTGGCCATTATTGAGTTCGTGGGACAACCACTTATCAAACTTTTTTACCTTGCTAATTTGATGCAAATTAACCAATATTGTTTTGATGCTAACGTCGTAAGATGCTGCTAATTCAGCCGTAGATTGAGTCAGCTTCCACAATCGCCTTTAATTCGTCATTGTCGATTAAAGTTTTCGGACATCCATGGGGTTCATTTTCAGGTCGAAATTTTCAGAACGGAAGCGAGTAAACTCCGTAAACGTTCGTTGTTGTTGCGTGCCGCTTGTGCCGCGTTGCTGCCACGACGGTACTCATATTCCGTAATTACTCGTATTTTTAACGTATCCATGATGACGATAAAGATTCAAATGCGATAAAAGCATAACGATGATCAATAAATAAATAAATGACTTATTTTGAAAAAAGAATTCCATGTTTATTAAATAAAATTAATTTGAAATTAGAATTCTTAGCCAAACAAATAATATTTTAATTTGAAATTGCCAGTAGGTACTGCAGAGCGATAAATTTATAGGTAAAGACTTATTATTAGATAAAGTTACGGTTTTATCGCATGGTACAGCCCTAGCGGCGTCGCTCGCCGCCCGTCTCTGCGAAACAGTTAATTTCTAATTAAATTTGTTAATTAAACTCGATCCGCGCGCTCTCGCAAATTAATACCCCGCGCGTATTATATTCCAGCTCCGACACAGCGTACCTATGTGCTTTCTCTCTCTGTCTCTCTCTACGCTCTTTATATAATGTTTGCGGTCAGGTGGTTTTTTTTTAAATTAGCTCCAGCTTGAAAGGATCTATTAATGTGGCGTTGTTTAGATTCAATATAGTCAAAGACCATTAAAACAAAATTTTTGCTTAATAAAGTACAGGAAGTATCTATGTTATCAAGTTTTTTCGGATAAAATTTAGTCTCGATCCCTTCTGGCTTTGCCCTTTATCTGTTCGTAAAGTTTTATCGAAGTGGTTGCTTATGTCTTTATAGCATACAAATAACCCTCTGAACTAAATAGAAGTCAGATATTTCAATGTTACAGACAGAAACTTTAATTTTTTTTATGAGTATAGATCTATTTAACAAAAGCTATGGTAGCTCAGGGTCTAAGCGGTCGCTGCAAAATTCACGGCATGCGTGCAACTTGGGTTTTATCCCTGAATGCGACCATGAAATTGAGTTAATTTTAAATGCTGATTTACCACTTGCTCTGCGGTGAAGGTAACATCGTGAAATCCTTACGCCATAAGGAATTTTCTTATTTCTTTTTTAATAGAGTAACAAAGGGCGGACTAAAGTTTTTGTCTCTGTATTTAAAAAGCCTTTATATCGAGAGATATATTTGTCGTCGGTAAACTTAGTTTAATCAGGCGTTGGATGTAATGGGATAGACAGGCTCCGGCGTGTAATCGTCGAGATCTCGGAAGTGGATTGTGCGAGTCCACTCTCGGATTATTGTCTCACAACTTTACTTGCGGAGCAGTCGCCCGGAGGACATTATTCCATCTAGTCAGGATCACCGCCAGTGCTAGCTACTAAAAGTTTATTATTGGAAACTATTTAATGATACAATAAACTTTGATGAAAAGTATAAGTAATTAATGTATAAAAGTTATGTAAATATTAGCATATTTGTGTTAATAAAAATTAATACCTATTAATATTAATTCTAAATAAAAAGTAAAAACCGACTTTAGAGAACAAAAATAAAGTAATTTCACATTCTGAAGTCAGTGGTAATACCTTCTATTAATATCCTACTATTATTATAAACGTGAAAGTTTGTGTGGATGTATGGATGTTTGTTACTCTTTCACGCAAAACCTACTAAATGTATTTTAATGAAACCTTACAATTATATAGCATATATATTAGAATAACACATCAGCTATAATTCATTAAGATATTTTAGTTGACTGAAGAATATCACTATCTCAATGAAGTCTTAATAGTTACATTGAAAATGTTATCCTCTATTTCGTCACCCTGGGTGTGGAGTATGTATGAAATATAATCTATTTTATATATAGTCGCATTTATTTGACTTCTGTGATACAGGCGCTGCCTACTTTAACAGTCAGTAACACAGACATGTATGCAAATATATAATTTATATGCCCAAAATACAGAACTTTTCTGTATTTTGGCTAAGTGTTTCTGGTAAATAAAAAAATGTATTATTATTATTATATAAATCCAAACAAAAAATTTGCAGATGCATTGTCACTTCTAAGGCTTATGGAAGAATGCCTCACAAGTTTTATACGCGGTAGAACCATGCTGCAGCTATGTTACTAGTATAATTGTAGCACGAATGGGTCGGCTCGACTGGGGAAGGACTACTCTCTCACATATTACCAGCGTAAAATAGCAGCTTAGCTTTGGTGTGTTTTGTATGGTGAGTGTAGAGAACCGGAGACCCTTTTTACTGGCAAAGAGGCATTCCATCTTAGTCCTCACGGGTGACAATGCATCTGCATTTTGATTTGTAATCGAGGATAGATGTAGATGTCTATGGGTCACAGCATCCACTTCCCATCAGTGGATTGTGTGCTCGTTTGTCACCCTATTATATAAAAAAAGCCTGTAATAATACTGACTCTCTATATCCTTCATACCGGCACACAGCGGCTGAACAGACGGACGGACCAATTCGAACTTCTCGGCAGAAAAGGAGCTCTACAACCTAGAAATTTCCACGTTAAAATGAAATCACGGTCCATATACATTTCGCTAGTGGACACAGACCTGTCACATCTTAAAGAGTCATTGAGCTAGAAAGAATCCACTTCAACGTATCAGTGAGTGATGATGTTCATAATATTTCCTTATTTTTTCACGGTGTTATCCATTACCGCGAGCTCTCGATATGTCAACATCCA